TGATTAAAAATACGATTTGGGCATTTTCTAACTGGCCATGACAAGACACTAAAAACATTAGACGATCAAATTTATTTTTCCAAGGCTTCTTGATTAGGAGTTAGTGTTTTTAACATACCCATGGCACTCTAGATTGAATTTTAAAATACTATTTTTTATTAAGCGAGAATTTCAAAAGTTGACATATGATATTTCATTCTATTCAGAATGTCATTTTCTGTGGAATAAAGTAAAAAAATACCGAGGGTGCCATTTAATCAAAAGTTGTAGTCATTTCCGGTGAAACAGGAAGTGACCAAAAACAATTGAATACGTCAATCAATCCTAATTTATGTCATATACTAACATACCAAATCTCGTTTCTTTATCTGAAAATATAAAAAAGTTATATTTATAAAAAATATAAAAAAGTTATAGGGGTGAGCCACTTTTGAGACGCACCCGGTATTTTATAAGTATTAATAAACTTAACAAAATTTTCTTCTGACCAATTACTTGCCGCCCTCGTAGCCGTCATTTTACAAGTACGACTTGAACGCCAAAAGTTACATCGTAGTCAAATGAGAAATTAATTTGTTTCAATTAACATGATTATTTACGGTCATTAAACGGACTTGATCAGTTGACTTGACTCGTGTAAACGCATTTTTATGCTGATCTACCACAACCTCAAAATACTTTTTTCACTACTTAATCGTATCTGTTTACACATACAACCATTATGAATTTTTAATATTTCATACGGATGTTCGTTTAATGTATTCAGTGAAAAGGCAATAAACTTAGTTTTGTCAGAGTTAGTTTTTTGATGTATTGTGCTTAGCTTATGTTAATTTTCTTTAAGTAAGTTATTATCGCATTATTTTCATTATTAATGCAAGTCTAATATGAAGATCGCTGTAAATATTTTCGAACTTGACGTCGTTTTTTTATAAGGCAGTATTATTTATTTGATGTAAATACCAAAATATAATTACATAAAAAATGTACCATTTTGCTTTTTTAAGTAGAATATTATTATTAGTCTCTAGTCACTTAAATTTTGTTTTTTATTTACTTGTCGACATGCTATATTAAAATTACTGGTTACTATAAATAATACTGAATTATTTGAAAGAGAATTGTAATTAACAAAATGTTAATTAAAGCAATATTCAAACAAATATTTTCCGTATTTAACATTGACATTAGAATTTACTTTTATTTTACTCAATTAACTACAAAACATTTTTTTATTTATACCAATTCAATGTTCGAATTTTGTGAATTTATTTTAGTTTTATTCATTAACAATCTAATTTTGTTTTTAACGCATTTGCTTCAAAATTAGTATCGTGATTGTGTTTGTTTAAATTATTTTAAATATCTTGAATAAACAAGCTCTTAAAGATTTTCGACGTTTTCAGGATTAATAAATTAACCTAATCTCTCTATATTTATGTTGTGTTGATATTTTATTTTAACATAATAATATAAAACAATGACTTCGCCTTTCCGTCCACACATGCGGGCATCGCCGAGCTCTGATAGAAAGGGTCCATCAACAACATAATGCCGCTACTGCACTTTCCGAGCGCTCGGAAATCGCCCAATGCCCCTGAGCAGTCGCGGCATAAAGACGAGTTCTCGTTCTCGTCGCCGATCAAGTCGCCGAACTCTAATAGCCTAAGAGCTGACGACATATTTAGAGAGCATATTTTAGGCAAGCTAGAATAACTAAAAATGTATAGTTTATTAACTGGTGAACCCAGAATCCTAAGTCTGCCTGGGGGGTTGTGGGTTTTCGCTACTGCGCAACCCATAACATTTGCAAAAAAATAAATCCAAAAAACATTCTTTAGGCAACTTGAAATTTGTTTATTCTTAAATTTTAGCATCTATTTAACCTAGAAATAAGTGTGCCAGACACTATATATTTTTTTCGGGTTTAAAGTGTAACCAGACAATTCCAAATATGTTTAATTATTATACCTTTTTTTTTTTTTTTTTTTTTTGGAGGTGTAAAATACCTTTACGTACGGAGTGTGGGACTCAATCTCTCCTTAAGCTGTCTGGAGGACACTACCCACTAAACGTCACCCCTTGCTCCTGCCACGTCTACCTGGACCCGCTGGACGCATCTCCTCAAGTAGCGCCGGACTGTTCCTTTTTTCATTATCCCTGCTCTTCGCTGTATTTTGCCTCTAGTATATTTTGGGCCAGTTTTGAGATGGCTTCAAAGTTTTCTCTTCTTTCTGTTACCGATTTTAAGAAGGTATCTGCGGAGATGTTGCCACCAATCGTCATGCGTACCTCACATCTTTCCTGTTCACATCTTGGACAAGCAAACATTGTGTGTTCTGGAGTATCATTGGGTTCAGCACAGTATCGGCATTCCGCGACTTCCCTCTTTCCAATTTTACACAGGTTACTCCCAAAATTTCCGTGGCCACTCAATATTTGAGTAAGATAGAAGTTTACCTCTCCATGCTTTCTTTTAATCCACATATTTATATTTGGGATGAGCTTATATGTCCATCTTCCTTTTTGTGATACTTCCCATTCTGCCTGCCACTGCTGCACTGTGCAATTATTATACCTGGAAAATATACTTTAGGCATTCTAAAATTTTTACAGCGTGTTTATTAGATGATATTAAAAAATATGTGTTAATTGCCAGACGAATTCAATGGGATTTAATACTTGCCAGACGCGAATAAAGATTTTAAATGAGCGCGATAAGAAAGTCTTATGAGTATCTATAAGCGCGAGAAATATAGTTTATTGAGACCCGATCGGCAGCCGATGCGGCTGACGTAACAGCATTTTGGAGTCGTAAAAATTAAAAAACAATACACAAACAAATATTGAATAAATAAAAAGAAACATTTTTTAATAAAAATTTATGATTGAAATCCTTTCAATAAGAAGACTTTATAATTTAAGTATTTTGTATCTGAAAGAATAAAAAGACGAATAATTATTTAAAAATTAGCACAATATAAAATATATTTTTTTCAAACGTCACAAAAGTATAATTATTATTATACTTTTGTGACCTATTATATTATTATTAATTTTTGCGACCTGATTGTCAATATAAAAAAGTCATTTTAATGCCTAAGCATAAAAGTAAAGCACTTTTACTTACTTTTGAATCTATTTAGAAAGATTAACAATGTTACTTTAATAAAATTCCAGAATACTTATTTTTTTAGCACTGTACATGGTACCCTTTTGTCGGGACTACGTTTTCTGGTAAAACCACTTCTTTAAATTTTAAACCATGTTGTTGGCTCACTTTTAAAAATTCTTTGCATTTTTGTAGTCTGCCTTCATCGAAAACAATAACTTTGTCACTAGTAACTTTTTTACAAACTACACAACTTAAATGTTTTTTATCCATTGTGATTTAGTAGTTAGTAGCGAAATTAGTAGTTACTAAAATATTCATTTGCAGTAATTATTCTAAACTATTTACACTATGCACGTCCAATATTTAATTTATAAATACATATTTGTACATGGTAACTTAATTCCAACAAAATAATCTTTGAATTAAAAGCCTGCAAATAATTGAAATGAAACCGAAAAAAAATTGTTTTTATGAAAATTTGAAGTACTCCAAAATACTGTTACGTCAGCCGCATCGGCTGCCGACGCCGACGGGTCTCAATAAACTATCTTTCTCACGCTTATAGACACTCATAAGACTTTTTTGTCGCGCTCATTTAAAATCTTTATTCGCGTCTGGCAAGTATTAAATCCCATTGAATGCGTCTGGCAATTAACACATATTTTTTAATATCATCTTATAAACACGCTTTAAAAATGTTAGAATGCCTAAAGTATGTTTTCCAGGTATAATAATTAAAAATATTTGGAATGGTCTGGTTTCTTAAATTACTTATACGCGCATTCAAAATTTCAGCTAAATCGGAAAAAAAGTTTATAATAATATAGTGTCTAATGTTGTATAGATAATGCATGGTACGGAACCCTTCGTGCGCGAGTCCGACTCGCACTTGACCAATTTTTTTTATTTTTAATGTATTCAAGCAGGCCAAATCGAAGTGGATTGTGAGATTTGCGAGATTATTATTAATCCTCATTCGAAACCTCGAAAGTAATGGAATAAATTAGTGGTTTCAATTGGCATAGAATTTTGTTCCCCTAATTTCAATGTAAGCATTTAAAACGTCAAAATTATTATTTGTTTAGTAATTTTCGATTGGTAGAAAAGTTAAGCTTAAGCTTCATTCAGAACCTCGCAATTAGTGAAATGAATTAGTGGTTTCAATTACATTTTATACTTTTTAGTTTACGATCATTCACAATATCTAAAAAACACAATTAAAATTAACAGAATATCCTAGCAGATTGGGGTAGTCAGTGGTATCAATAGAAAAACCCTAATATTTCGCTTATAAAACAATAAACTTTTGATTTCCGACCACAATTTCTCTTGATGGATGATACTAATCAAAGGCCAAAATGACATTTTCTGACAACTTTTTTCACTAATTGAATATTACTACCACTAAATTTTGACGTTGTGAATGCTTACATTGATATTAGAGGAACAACCTTACTACGCTAATTGAAACCACTAATTTATTCCACTAATTCGGAGGTTCTGAATGAAGCTTTAATAAGTTTTAGCTTTTGCTACTAATTATACTTCAAAATTTGTGATTTGCTACTAGTGTCATTTTGGCATTTGGTTGTTATCAACTGTCAAGAGAGATTGTGGTTAGAAATGGAAGGTTTATTGTTTTATAAGCTAATTATTAGGCTTTCTATATTGATACCACTATTATTTCGAATTGTATTTTTTAGACATTTCCAATAATTGTAAATCTTTAAGTATACAGGGATAATTGAAGCCAGAAATTTATTTCACTAATTTCTGGGTAAGGCTTTATCCCCAAACTACTTATACTTTTTTAGATTACAAATCAGAATTGTTGTATTTTTAGTTTACCTATTATATATATTAAACAATATTTAACTTAATGTACCTTCATATAACTTTACTTTCTCCTGAGTTTTCTCATCCTGTATTCCTTCTTCATGAATTGTCATACTGTTTTCACTTAAACCACTCACGATTTACAAATTTCTTCAAAAAATAACCTTTGTCAAGTTGCTACAAGAGCACCTTTGCAGAAATAAACAAATAATACCGATATTTCGGCTTGTTTTATAGGTTATAGTCACTTAACTTGCGTAAAGATAACACGAATGCTATTGATTTTTAAACAGAACGTGCGCGCGCCAAAGAGCGGGCCAAGACGATTTTAAATAAATTGGAGAAGCAACAATCAATTAATTGTTAATATTTTAGTTTAAACTAGATCCGCGATATGGCTAGGATCGATAAAACGCGATAATGTATAGACGGCATTGAACAAATACAGCGGCTGCCAGCTACATCGAGCGTATATTAATGAATTTGGTATAAATAAAATGGTTAGTAGTGGCCAAGCTGATGTAAGGAAAATACAAGCTTGTTTAATTAGCGGACAGCGGCGCACAGTGGTTTCGGCAATGGAAAAAAAAAACAAAAAAGAGGGTGTTAAATCGGGTTTAAATTATCCCATCTTACATCAAGTTAGTTCAAAGACAATATAATAATATTACTTTTTTAATTTAATTACTACTTTTGAATTTACAGCACCTCCTTTTTGGCAATTTTCTTAATATACGAAACGCGCAAAAATAAAGCGAAAACAAGTAATATTTTACAGCCCTTCTTTTAATTCCTAAAAATCGGTATTACCCAGGAACTGTTTAGTTTATCCATGGGCAGTAAAAGTAAAAATCATTTTGCCAAAATATACCGTGCCTTTGGTGCAGTTTAGTTTGAATCTATTTCTAATAAAATTACTTTACTTCTTACTTTAATCAGACTAGCTTTACCGAGCTTTGGTCTCGGATTAATTTGACTAAAAAAAGCAACTGTTAAAGTAGTGATTTTATAAATTTTATCGTCAGATTCGGCCAAGTGTGTTAAAAATTTAAAATAAAAGATAAAAAGTGTGAAAAAAAATTAAAACTACTTTCTTCATTTTTGCGGATGCCGAAAACCGATTTTAGATAAATTTTGATATGAAACTTTATCAGTATTGTTGTTGGATTTGTCTTATTAGCTGGATAATAAACATGTCGCAATTTGTGATACCATACAGTGTTGTGTAAGAATTACTCTTTAACCGCGAGTACCCTTTAGAGCAAGGTTTAAGGGAACAGTATCCAGAGTTACAAGGAGAGCGGTTGTTGCTGGTAACTGGAGCCATAAAAAAAAGATTTCAACCCAACTTTGCCAAAAAATTGAGAGAAGTGCATCATGTGAAACGAATTTTTTTTCGGATGTATAGTGAGTGGTTGCAGGGCGAGTTTTTGCTTAATTTTCCTGAATCTGATCATGAATCCGAAAACGAGTCATCCCTTAAGTCTGTCGGAGGTCGCCCAGAGAAACCTTTTGAAGATTTGTGTAAAAGAAGTAAGCAAAATAAAATAAAAAAAACTTCGAGAGGATTTTTCGGATGAATTGATAATCGCAGCAGCAGAACAAATAAAAAAAGAAAAACAAGCTGATCCTATGAGGTATATTGACTCTAAAAAAGCCTTGGGTTTAATTCTTGACGCATCTTTAACAAAATATCAATATGAAATATTAAGAAAATGTGTTAAGGAAGTAGGCTGTAATATTTTCTTATTATAACTTCTTCTATTTTTTAAACTTTTGAAAGAATTTTGAATTTGCCAGCCAGATTCTAAAACATTGTTTTATCGACTATCGAACCGTTCTTTGCAGTTTTTTTTCAATTATTGGTCAGGACCCATAATACAGGGTAAAACAAAAATGCGCGCATTTTTAACAAAATTTTAAGTGAGCCTCATTTTGCGGGGGGATGGAGGAAATCCATTTTTTATGGGTAGTTTGAAGGAGGTGTTTTATACCTCGGGACGTTTATGAGTTTTTTTGGCTATCGCTCTCCATGGCGATGTTTTCGATATTCTTATGATTGTCGGTAGAGTTTTAATACTAATAATTTTATCTCATTGTGAAATGAAGATATCGTATTTTTAAGCATTATAATTTTTAATGTACAATTAAATAAAGCAAACAAATAATCTTATAAAATTAAAAAGTGTTACAGTTATACAGGGCGTTAAAAATTTATCTAGCTGGTATATTTAAATTATATGAACAGGTTTTATTATGTATCTTGGCATAACAAAAGAAGCATTTAACACTTTTTCATTAACGATACAGTATAATCACTTAGTATAATCATTAGTTAATACGCATAATACTCAAAAATACAATATATTAATTTCATAATGAGATAAATTTATTAGAATTAAAACCTTACCGAAAAATGGAAAACATCGCAACAAAAAAACTCAAAAACGTCCCGAGGTATAAAACAACTCTTTTAAAATACCCACAAATAATGGAAATCCTCCATCCCCCCACAAAATGGAGGTCACTTAAAATTTTGTAAAAAATGCACGCATTTTTGTTTTACCCTGTATTATGGGTATTGGCCAATAATTAAATAAACTGCAAAGAACGGTTCGACAGTCGATAAAAAAGTGTTTCAGAATCTGGCTAGCAATTCAAAATGCCCTCAATAGTTTAGAAAATACAAGAAGTTCAACTTGATGCAAAAATTTTCACTTTACGTTTCAATTGGTGCTCAGTTTACTTTTAAATAAATTTATTAAACCATGTTATTTGATGTATTTTATTAAGCTGAATCGAACAAAATTCGTCCCAATGCGATTGGGTTAACGGTTTAGGAAATATAGGGTTTTTTCGTTATATTATCAGTTTCACACCACTGTGCGGCGTCACGTCCATTCAAACAATGTAAGATAGGTCATAATATATCCGTGTTTGATGTTTCTAAAAGTTCTCACAATATTGCAAAATGTACTAATTGAAATGGGTATCCTTCAACTGATTTAATAAAGCAAATCTCGAGTTTGTCCTTTCAGTACAACGAGCAAGTAGACAAAAAAGACATTTCAATAAATAACACAAAACTGGAAATAGTAGAAGAATATACAGGGGTGTGATGTATGGAAACGGTCGATTATTAGGTAAAATATATAGGAATAATAGAGGAGGTACCCCAAAAAGTTAAAACAAAAGTTATAGGATTTTTAAATATCTATTAGAGTGTAATGAATTTCAGTATACCGGGTCGATCATAAAGTCGTCACATATATAAAAGTTTCATTTTTTTAACTAGAACCTTCTGTATATTACTGCATATTTCATTTCTTCATTCAATTCTAACCAAAAATCCTAATACACACAGTGTACCTCAAACCAACCGTTTTCCGAGTTCATTTGATTTAATTAATTTCGATATGTTCAGTTTCATTTAATGATGCCATTCTGCCGAAACTTGATAATATTATTTGACATTAGTTCTCAAGTTAGCATTTATAGATGTATAAAATGAGATTATACCAAGTCTGGAAGTTACAAAATTTTCGTTTAAGATTTCAATTTTTCAGTTTATGTACATTGGGTATTAGATTATTGCTTAAAATTGAAGGAAGAATTGAAATATGCAATAATATACAGTGGGTTTCATTAAAAAAAAATAAAGTTTGATGTGACACAACTTTATGACCGAATACTTAAATTTACTAGTAGCCTTGTATATATATTTTTAAAGTAGATCAACCTAAGACGTTTATGGACTAAGACTACTAGATGGCAGGACCGGTTTCCCTACAAAAAAATATTTTTTGTTACTCTGAATTTTGAAGCTACCAATAAAAACAGAGAAAATAAAAATCGATAATTTTCGGACTATGCCAATTGGTTACTAATCGACCAGATACGTTTTGTCTATTAGATATGCTATAAAAGCTGGCAATTATACAATTCGACCATTGTAAATACCCGACAAATTCTTCAAGGCCGACAAGGCCGATGCTTCTCACTGATAAGAAATAAAAATGTTTGTTTAGATCATTTTCGAGGTTTTTTTTCTTTCTGAATGCACATTTTAAAGTATTTTATATTCTTTGTCCCCTTGACCTATTATTCTGGTCGCACGTATGGAAGTTCTGTTTCTTCTAGTTTTAGAAAATGTTCATATTTCTTTTTTCTTTGTAGTTGTAGTGTAAAATTAGATTAATTTATTAAGTTTAATTATAGTGTTTAGTGTAGCATGTTAGTGTAGTCTACCAAAAATAGTTTAGTAGTGTTTTTATAGTTTATTTTGTAGTTAAGTAGTAGGTGAAGGGATAATTCTGTTATTTTTTCTTTTTGTTTGATAAATTAGTAAGTTTGATAATTTATTCAGTGTAGAATACAAGAATAAGTAGTTGTGTAGAGTTTTTAAGAGATTATATTCGTTTATTTTGTAGTTGAGTAGTAGGTGAAGGGGTATGTGGGTATTTCTTCTTTTTGTTTTTCTTGTAATAATTGTAGTAGTTCTATTAAGTATTGTGATAGATACACTATATCTTCCTTCAACTTCGTTGAAAAGTGCGTTTATTTATTTGAAATTAAATTAATCTAGCCTTATTAATCAAATAAAAACTAGTCAAATAATAATAATAGTTTCAAAATACTACACAGGGTGAGTTTCCTACGGTGTTCTCTATGGGCATCTCGAAAACTACTGGAGATAGAGAGTCGATTAATGGCGAAAGAATTGCAGTTTTGTGGGGTCATAAATATGCACCTTTCGGATTTTTCGGAGAAGTTCAAGGCTTATTAGATATTTCGAAAAAAAACAAATTTTGGCTATTTTATAACTTGTCTCTAATTCCATTATAATCTACCATATGATCGAATAAAAACAGCGTCAACGATGGCTATGAAGTGAAGATCGCTGTCATTTTATATGTAAAATTATATGGGAAATATCATTGATCGTCATTTTATAGCCATCGCTGACGCCGTTTTTATTCGATCATACCGTATTTTAGACAAAAAGTTTTCAATAAAAGTTGTAGATAATCACATACTTAATGAGTTTGTGTTTTCTGTTTTTTTTTCTAAACTCTGTCATTTTTGACATATGACACAAACATATGTTTTTTTAGTAAACCATAGTTGGCCATAACTTCATAAAAAGCGCCATTTTTTAAGCTTTTCAGCGATATGTATAATATGTTTTTTTCGAAAAATTACAAGTTATAGCCAATTCTTTTCTTTCTTGGCTAATTTCCATACCAATAATACCATGCCAATTAGTTAGCATCAAATATGTAAAAAGTTTTATGTTTTCAAAAAAAAAATATCGTAAAATTCGTAAAGCACTCAATTTAGAATAAAATAATCTAAGAATGAAATGATTCTTTTATAAACCTGCATTAAATCAAATTAAAATAGGTATGTAACTTTTTTTTAAATATTAATTAACAGCCAATTAGCATTATCATAAATTATAA